GCTGAGCTCCCGAAAGCCGGGCGGGGGCTCCTTCGCGAAGTTTTACAGCCTGTTTTTAATACGTGCCAACTTCTATATAAATGGCACTTGTAAACGTGTCCGGCTTCCTCCCGTGCAAACGAATGGGGATCGGAGCTTACTGGGGGAAAGTAAAATAAAACCGGAGCTAACTACCTGTTGGAAAGGCATCCTCAGGGCTCCCATATTCACATAGGGGGCTACTCTGCAGGCGTCTAAATGGCTGGCGGTTCCCAGGATCACACCTGCGGAGAGACACAGGGCCGGGTGAGTGGCGAAGGCGCCCGGGGCTCCGAGGCCGTCAGCCCCCGGCCGGTCCGCACCCCTAACCCACCTTTGTGCATCTGGTTTTCCTGCTTTCGGCACTTTGCTCTCCTGTTCTGGAACCAGACCTGTGAAAAGAAAGAGCAAACAAAAACAAAACAACAACAAAAAATGGAGGTGGCCCAGGCAGCTGCTGAGGGAGCATTATCTCAGGATCTAGGGATGGAGGGGTGAGGCCAGTGACTGCACAGCTTTGCTGCGGTCTCCCCTCGGGAGCAGTGGAGGGGATGAGCTCGGCCCCAGGCGGAGTGAGCCCCTCTCTGTGCTGCTGAGGGGCTGTTCGTGGGAGCTCCTGCTCCTTGTTGTGGTCCCTCAGTTGAACCCAGGAGTTGGGAAGCGCTCTCGCAGAGGGAGAGACCGGGAGCCTGCCGCTCAGCACGGTCCCGGAGCGCCCCGTGTCCCCTGGGCAGGCAGTGACAGTCTTTCTGCCACCCGTCTGGAGCGACACTTACAGTAAGACCACTCGCAGGACGGAGGAGACCCTCGTACCCTTCCCAGTCATTTTAAGCAGCCCGGGAAGAGCCAGCGTGGGCCAGGTCAGACTCCGGGATCTGGCCCCCAAGAGACTGGATCTCCTGCCCCCTCCCGAGCTGGGCTTAAAATCGATGATCTCTGACAAGATGCGAGACACTCAACTTTCGCGAAAGGGTCTGAATCATTCCGCGTTCCATAAATGTTAAAGAAAATAAAATCCGCTTCCGTAGACCTCTGGCCAGACAAGAACAGCATCTTTTGCAGGCTGGGATGTAAAGAAGTGCTCATGCCCCTACCCGAGGAACGCCTGTAATCCGATAATGCTTCCCCAATTCCAGCCGTTCTCACTCAAACAATCGAAGAACTTTGCAGTTGCCACTGCGCTTCCCGTGCCTCTTTTCCAGGGGCATTTCAGACTTTCATTACTTTTCCCCTTCTGCCGTGCTCGATTAACATCGCCCCAAAACATCATCAGAAACGCGGGCCAAAATATTTTGCGGATCCTTATCTTTACACCAAAACCTACCGAATATGGATAAACATTGACTTTCACCGCTGATAAAATCTTGTGGCTAAGTAAACACCTACAACCTTTGATGTTCTTGCACTTGCTAAGAGATCATACGGTTAATTAATACTAACTGCACTTCCTACATCAAATTTTCCCTTCAAGCTTTCTTCAATTGCCTTAATGATGGTCATTTACAACGGAGTAATTAGTGCAAAGAAAGGCTTCCGAAGGCATTAATTACCTCGGGTACCTCAGTGATTTCCTTAAGTAGGAATTGGCCTTCTCTGATTTAGCGCACCATTTCTCCTGCCCGGGGTGTCTGCGGGGGAAGCGCGCAGCGGGCGGCTGCGGAGCGCAGCGGGTGCGGACAGACCGACGGACGGACGGACAGACGGACAGACCCACCCACCCACCAGTGCTGGTTCCTGTCCCTGGCGGCTGTCGCCAGCTCAGCCCTCCCCGTGCTAAGCGGGCATCGCTGCCGCTCCGCTGCCCTGCGCAGCACAGCGCGGCACAAGCACAAGCCTATTTTTCCTTACCAGCAACACGCAAATATTAGCAGCATGCATCGCTTCTCTTTTTTAGTGGACCGTTAGGGATTTATACACATGCACAGATGTATTTAAATATGAGCATGCAAAATATTATCGAGCGGCAGCGACAATAATACATCTTTTTTTACTGTGGTAAATCCTTGCAGGAAATCTCCTTGTATGTATTCCCCGTGCCCCCCCCCGCCTCGACAAAGCAGTGTAAATTGTCAGAAGAAATTTAAGCAGCGTTTAAACAACTTCTCTTGCAAATCAGAACATCTTTCAAACCGAAATTATATTTAAATCTGGAAAACGAAGTGGCCTTTCCCTTTAGCTACGAAAAAATAAGGTTATGAGGAATAAAAGTGATGAATTAGCCACTGCATTAAGCGATAATAAATCAGGCTTGGTGTGATTCGCGATCAATTCCAATTAGTCATGAATATGCTAAGTAAAGCACAGTACACTGTTTTAGACAGTTATTTCTTCATTAAGGATCACTCAGTGATTTCTTTCACAAATGCTCTAATCTGATTTCCTTTTGATTTCCATTAGAGACAGTGAATAATGACATTTAATTTAGCCCTGCACCATAAACCCAAAGATATTTGTTGTAATTGAATTACTGCCTGCTCCTCACTATGGTCTCATAACTTTCAATTATAACCCTGACAGCTGGGTGATATGAGTTTCCAGTACAACACTAAAAATAAAAGGTTAATAAGGACTAGCTACCATAGGAGCTTCAATTTATTTACAGCAAATTTCCACGCTAAATTGAAACTATATCCTTTAACAGCAAGGGACAAGAGGTTCAGATAGGAATTAGAGTACAATTCTGAAAGTCTTAGGGGGAAAAAAACCCCAAAAAAACAAACCTTTCCCTTTTCTGCCTTTTCCTTTTTTTTTTTCTGCTTCTACTTATTGATGGATATTAACTCTGTGCTTATTTCCTAATTAATTGTCCATTTTCCCTCTTTTTCCTCTTTATACCTATTTTATGTATAAGGATTTTTTTAATCCACACAAACATCTTTTATAAAAATAATAAATACTTTTTTTTTAACCTCAGTCATAATCTCCTCCTGATTTTGGGGGGGGGCTTTTTTTTTTTTTTATGCTGTATGTGTGTGCTGTTTTAAGCACTTGAAACACCAATTTTCCTGTAACTATGAACATCCTGTTAAGGTGCTCCTCAGTAATAAAGTACTTGAAAGAAAGAGTGCAGAATTCAATTACAAGTAATTTATTTTTATAGAAACAGTACATCAAGGCCTTGGAAAGATATTACAGAGCCCAAGTAAGAAGATCTGGGAAGATGACATAAGAGTTGATGTCCCCTTCAGCAAAAGTTTAATCTTTTCATTAATTTATATGGTGTGGTTAGATCAATCTTCCAGGAGAAAGTAGGCCAGCTGCACTCTGAACCCCTGCAATATTCCCTGCAAGATGCCATTCCTAACGCGTGTGCCCGGCACCATCCCTTGTCGTGCTCAGTTTGTACTGAGAATCAGAGGAGCTCAGGGGAGAATAAAACCTTAAAACCTTGAAAGAAGACCAAAAATAAAAAAAAAGAAAAAGGGAGCGAAAGCAACTTAGGTACTCCATTTATTTCAGGATCTGCCTCCAGGAGACAGTTGTCTAAAGCGAGGTAGTGGCTTGCTCAGGCAATGCTGGCTGAGCAGTGTGCTGTCAGCTTGCCTTCCACGCTTAAGGAGGGGCTCCAACAGAGCCCTCTCCCCACTCCAGCCCGGGGCCGTGTTTACCCACTTCCCGCTGTGCCCCAGGAGTGAGGTTAGGGCATGGAGCCTCCGTCTGTGCCCACAGGGCCATACCCTGCCCGCGTGTAGCTACCCGCACACTCCTATGGGCAGGTATACATACACATGGGCACCTCTTATCTCCAGGGTGTCAGGGCGTTTTGTTCACTGGAGGGGTTGCCTTGGTGACTTTTTCTTCTTGAGTTTTAGTTTGGTTTGTGTCTGTTAGGCCCAGTATAGAATTTTAATCCAAGAAGATATTTCCTTCAGGTTTCTCCTGCTCTGGGCCTGCTCAGAGAGCCACAGGTTGATCTTATTTTTTCTAGGTAGATTTTTGTTAATTATTTCTATGTTGGGGGTTTTTGGTTGGTTGAGGGTTTTTGTTTCTTTTAATATGACATCTGTTTTGTGGAAGCATTCCCTAGTTGGCTTGGGGGAAGAGGGAGTATTTTTCCTCTGCATCAAACTGAAAATCAAATTTTAAAATAATCGATGTAGAGCCACCCAAACAGACAGCTCTGGTGCCCCCAGGACTACAGCAACCCGGATCTATTTTCAAGATTTCGAGGTCTAATTGGCATTTAGCTGTCTCTGAAGTGGGAGGGGAGGGACGGGGGGAACCTCCACCAGATGGGGTGGCATGCATTCATACGCTTGCTGTGCGAATCAGAGCCGGCACCTTTCCCCCGGCTCTGGCTAATCCCGTCCCTCAGCACCCAAACTGTCTAGCCTTATTCAGGCGATTGTTTTCTGGCCTTTTTCTTTTTTTCCCCCTATAATGGCCCCATAATAGAAAAAGCGGGAAGAGAATAAGGATTAAGGGGGAGTAAATGGCACGTTTGCAAGGAGGGAGAAAGAAATTAAAAAAAAAAAAAAAGCAGTTGTTCAGTTATTACAGACTTGTCAACACTATCACCACCCAACCACCCTACCTCATACACATTAAAAAAAAAAAATTTTAAACCGCCTTCCTAGGAAACACTAGACACGGGCAGATATTCCCAGAGCAGAATAACTGTTTTGCAGGACAGGTACAGCAGACTTGCAAACAGCCTTCCTATCACACGTGTCACCTCTGCCTTCACCTCCCCGTTCTGCATGGAACGGGGCACTGTGCTAGGATCCGCTGGCAGTTGGGAAGGGAGGTGAGCACGCTTCCAGGAACAGAGCCTTTCTCTTACCTGAACCCTAGCTTCAGATAGTCCCAGCCTCTGGCTTAGTTCCTCCCTCATGAAGGCATCCGGATAGTGAGTCTCATCAAAAAGTCTTTCCAGCTCGTTCAGCTGCTCTAGTGTGAAATTGGTTCTGCTTCTCCTTTGTTTAAGCTTGGTCTGTCCGTCTTCATCTTCTGACTTCACATCTTCCCTCTTCTCTTTGCATTCGTAGATCCCTGCCGGGAGGGGGAAGAAGAAAACGACGCTGAGCCTCCCCTCGCACCTCTTCCAAATTCTCCCGCACAGGGGTCTCCCTCCTCGTCCCCAAACTCAGCACAACTTGCGGGTGCAGTTGGCGGACGGGTCAGGAGGTCCCCGGGCAGGCCCTGGAGGGCGAGAGGGGCTGAGCTGCGCTGCGGGCTCCGCGCCGGGCCGGGGACAGCTCGCCCCAGGGCCGGGGGAGGAAGGGAGCCGAGCTGCCTTGCCTGTCTGCTGCCCTGTCAGGAAAACTGTACAGATACATGTCATTTTATTTTCTTTCCAGGGTTAGGAGGAAGCCGCTGATACGGGCAGTTCGGGGAAGGGGTGGTAGGAAAACCGCCTGCCCCCCGATACCTCCAGGCATGGGAAGACGTGGGGGAAGGGGGTTTCTCCCGCGACGTTTTCTCCCAAAGAGGGTTGTGCAAGAAGCTCCCTATCACTGTCATGGTGAAGCCTCGATGATAGTATTTGTGTCGTAAAAGAAACTTTCCCTGGGCGTGAGACAGAGACCGCCCGTCTCTCTCCTCCTTTACACCCCTCTTTTCCCCAAAATACCTGCCCGCGGCTCGAAACCCCGGGGGAGGTGGTCCCTGTGCGGGACAGCGGGCTCCAGGGCCATGGGTCACCCCAGCCCCTCGGGAACAGCAGGAACCCTCACAACCTTCAGGGACTCCAGCAGGGCTCTGCGACCAGAGGCAACCGCTGAGAGTGCTTGTCCCGGGCCGAGGGAGGCTGTGGGGGCAGCGGTAAAATAGTTCCCCTTTTCTGTCTTGGGTAGGGAGATTTCTTTTGCTTTGGCATATTATTTCCTACGTTTTTATTTTTATAATTTCCCCCCCTTTTCCTTAATGCCAGGAGGTCTAAGGCACTGCCCTTCTTTCAAATCCAGCTAAGGAAAGAGGAAGGGATGCTGGAGCGAGGGACAGCACTTGAGGCGGAACCGGTTCCCCGGGATCCCCTGCCTGCCTGCGGCGCCCGCCGGGTGCGCATCCAGCGGGGTCCCGGGACGAGCCCGCCCCAAGTGCCTCCTTTGTCGTGCCTCCCCTTCTGCGTGGTGTGGATTTCGGGGCAGTCGCATCTGCGGATGATCCCAAATTAATTCCTTTTCCTCACCAAGTACACAGGTATTATATACGTGTATACATGTGTATACACACACAGAGAGAAATGTGCTCATGAACATATATTAACCTATATATTTAGGAGCATCCCAAAATGCAAATTATAAATTGTAAGTTAATTAAACGTAATAAAGCGTCCTGGACTGCATCTAGGCTTAAGTCAGGCCGGACCCAAGCCGAGGCATTCGTTTTCACTTCCAAAATCAAAACTGTCTCTGGCTGTGGTCGGTCCCCCGGGCTCCGGGCTGATACTGGCTGCATAAAACTTTGGGAAGGGTCTGGCCTCCGGATGGGGAAATTCGCTGGTTGGTTTTAATGGCGTTTTGTTCTCATTTCTCCTGTAAAGGGAATCCCTATGAAAAGACGAGGGTGCTAACCCAGCAAATGCCTAGGGAAAATCAGGCGCGTTCAAAAGCTGTCTCTTTTCCGAGGCTACAGCATGTCCGTGATAGGTATAAAATATTAACTAGCATATCGGTGGGACTGAAATCACACGCTGGAATCAGTTGAAATTAGACTGAAACCTGGCATGAATTTAAACTGTCACAAGCATCTCAGCTCTTTCCAACTCCTCCCTTCCATCCCCACCCCCAGCCCCTCTCCGTAGATTAGATTAGCTAAACATACAAGCCAGAATTTCGATTCATGGGGAAAAAGGCAGAGTAGTAGAGGGTTTTTTTCGTTCCTTCTCATTCTATTTTTAATTTCTGAAGCATGCCCTGCTTTCATTTTTTAAAAAAATCATCTCCTGCATCGAATGATTCCCTTAAACTGAATCTTCTCGTTTTTCAATCTCTCGATCAGAGAAGGAAAATAAGCAGAGCTGAGTGGTGCTGGCTTGTGCAGAAATATGGATACCCGAATACGGGATTATACCTCGTTCTTCTGTTTGGGGAGCAGGTAGAAAAGAGAAGGATATTAAATAAAAGTTTGGGCAGTAAATTTAATCTCCCAGTGTTATATTAAACAAGATCAAACAGTAGGAAACAGCTGAAAGGCTGCTTGCTGTTCCCCAACCTATTAACCGGTTTTTATTACCCCAAGCTAGCCAGTAGCTCCCCAGGTAGGTCCACCTGTCTAACTTGCCTAGAGACACTTTCTCAACTTTCTAATCCCTCCGTCCTTTTAATTCTCCTCTTCCCCTGTCAGCCTGTGCAGGATTTTTAGTTGTCTTGGTTTAAAAATTTTTTTTTTTTAAATTGTCGTTGTCTTTGATGTTGCTT